GAAATATTTGCAATATACTTACTGGTTCAAAATCCCAAATCTGATCATCCAAAATCTGAAATGCTTCAGTGAGCATTTCCTTTGATCATTATGTCTGTACTCAAAAAGTTTTGGATTTTGGAGCATTTCAGATCTTGGGCTATCAGATTTTGGGTGCTCAATCTGTAATAGCAACTGTGTATTCAATAATTATAGTTTATGGATAAGGGAACTGAATGACAGCAATGATAAAAGGGACAGGAGGAGGAAGTTAAGACTACTTTGTTGTCATAAGGTACTCGCACTACCGTGAAACATAGTGTTATTTGAGTAGACTTGGTTAGTTGTAAATGTATACTAAAAAAAGAACTGCTGGAGGCCGGGTGCGGTGGCTCACACCTGTAATCCCAGCACTTTGGGAGGCCGAGGTGGGTGGATCACGAGATCAGGAGTTTGAGAACAGCCTGGCTAATATGGTGAAACCCCATCTCTACTAAAAATACAAAAATGAGCTGGGTGTAGTGGCATGCGCCTGTAGTCCCAGCTACTCAGGGGGCTGAGGCAGGAGAATCACTTGAACCCAGGAGGCAGAGGTTGCAGTGAGCTGGAATCATGCCACTGCACTCCTGGTGTGACAGAGTGAGATTTCGTCTCAAAACAAAACAAAACAAAACAAAACACACTACTGGCTGGGCATGGTGGCTCACACCTGTAATCCCAGTGCTTTGGGAGGCTGAGGCGGGAGGATTAATTGAGCCTGGGAGTTTGAGACCAGCCTGGGCAACACAGTGAGGAGTTCCCCCAGAACAAAGCCAGTTTGCATATTGGGCAGAAGATGTGAATCACTATAAACATTGCTGAAAAGAAGACATACAAATGGCAAACAGGTATATGAAAAGGTGGGCTACATAACCGATCATCAGAGACATGCAGATCAAAACTACAATGAGATATTATCTCATTCCAGTTAAAATGGCTTTTATCCAAAAGACAGGCAATAACCAATGCTGGTGAGGATGTGGAGAAAAGGAACCCTCGTATACTGTTGGTGAGAATGTAAATTAGTACAATCACTGTAGAGTTGTGTGTTTTTTTAAAAAAAAGAACATTGGCTGGGCACGTTGGCTCATGCCTGTAATCCTAGCACTTTGGGAGGACAAGGTGGGTGGATTGCCTGAGCTCAGGAGTTCAAGACCACCCTGGGTAACATGGTGAAACCCTGTCTCCACTAAAATATGAAAAATTAGCCTGGTGTGATGGCAGGCACGTGTAAGCCCAGCTACTCAGGAGGCAAAGGTTGCAGTGAGCTGAGTGACCAAAAAGTTGGTCCTATGAAAAGATCATTAAAATTGACAGAGAAGACACACAAAAAATCAGAATGAGTGCAGAGGCATTACTATTGACCTTACAAAATTGGAAATAGAATGCTATAAACAAGTATATACCAACAAATTAGATAACCTAGATGAAACAGAAAAATTCCTAGAAACAGAAATTATACAAACTGATGTAAGAAGTAAAAAGTCTCAGTAGGCGTAACAAGTAAAGAGATGGCAATAAAAAACCTTGCAATAAAAAAAGATGTTTAGGCCAGGCGCAGTGACTCCCGCCTGTAATCCTAGCACTTTAGGAAGACCAAGGCAGGTGGATCACCTGAGACCAGGAGTTCAAGACTAGCCTGGCCAACATGGTGAAACCCCGTCTCTACTAAAAATACAAAAAGTAACTGGGTGTGGTGGTGGGCACCTATAATCCCAGCTACTTAGGAGGCTGAGGCAGGAGAATTGCTTGAACCTGGGAGGCAGAGGTTGCAGTGAGCTGGAATCATGCCACTGCACCCCAGCCTGGGCAACAGAGTGAGGCTCCATCTCAAAAAAAAAAAAAAAAAAGTTTAATTTTATGTGTCAACATGGCTAGGCAAAGGTATCCAGATAGTTGGGCAAGCATTATTCTAGATGTTTCTGTGAAGATACGTTTTAGATGAAAATAACATTTAAATCTGTAGACTCTGAGTAAAGCAGACTACCCTCCCTAACGTGGATGGGCATTATCCAATCAGTTGAAGACTAATTTGAAAAAGACTGACCTCTGCAGAAGAAGAGGGAATTCTCCCAGCGTGCTGCCTTCGGACTTGAACTGCAGCTTCTTCCCTGTTTCTCCAGGCTGCCGGCCTACCCTAGAGATTTTGGACTTGCCAGCTACCTCTCAAACTCTCTCTCTCTTCTCCCATCCCCCACATATATATTGTTTCTGCCTAATATGGTCCAGGATCAGATGGCTTCGCTGGTACATTCTACCAAACATTTAAAGAAGAATTAACATTAATCTTTCTCAAACACTTCTACAAATAGAAGAGGGGTATACTTCCTAACTCATGCTATGAGGCTAACATTACCCTGATATCAAAGCCAGATAAAGACATCACAAGAGGGCTGGGCATGGTGGCTCACACTTGGGGAGGAACACTTGGGGAGGCCAAGGCGGGAGGATCAGTTGAGGCCAGGAGTTCAAGACCAGCCTGGGCGACGCAGTCAGATGTAGTCTCTAAGAAAACATTTAAAAGTTACACAGGCACGGTGGCATGCACCTGTAGTCCTGGCCACGCAGAAGGTTGAGGCCAGATGATCACTTGAGCCCCAGGAGGTCGAGGTTGCGGTGAGCTGTGTTCATGCCACTGTCTTCCAGCCTGGGTGATGGAGCAAGACTGTGTGTCCAAAAAAAAAAAAAAAAAAAAAAAAAAATCACAAGAAAAGAAAATTACAGGCCGGGCGCGGTGGCTCACGCCTGTAATCCCAGCACTTTGGGAGGCCGAGGCGGGCGGATCACAAGGTCAGGAGATCGAGACCATGGTGAAACCCCGTCTCTACAAAAAATAGAAAAAATCAGCCGGGCGCGGTGGCGGGCACCTGTAGTCCCAGCTACTCAGGAGGCTGAGGCAGGAGAATGGCGTGAACCCGGGAGGCGGAGCTTGCAGTGAGCTGAGATCCGGCCACTGCACTCCAGCCTGGGCAGCAAAGCGAGACTCCGTCTCAAAAAAAAAAAAAAAGAAAATTACACTCAATTATCCTATATACATATTGATGCAAAATTCCTCAGAAAAATACTCGCAAACCAAAACCAACAGTTTATTAAAAGGATTAGACATCATGACCAAGTGAGATTTATCCAAAGAATGCAAGGGTGGTTGCACAGCATTGTGAATGTAATAAAAGGAAATTGAATTGTACACTTAAAAATTGTTGGCTGGGTGCGGTGGTTCACGCCTGTAATCCCAGCACTTTGGGAGGCCAAGGCAGGCGGATCACGAGGTCAGGAGCTCAAGACCATCCTGGCTAACATGGTGAAACCCTGTCTTTACTAAAAGTACAAAAAAAAAAAAAAAAAACTGGGCATGGTGGCGGGCGCCTGTAGTCCCAGATGCCTGGGAGGCTGAGGCAGGAGAATGGTGTGAACCCGGGAGGCAGAGCTTGCAGTGAGCAGAGCTTGCACCACTGCACTCCAGCCTGGGCGACAGAGCGAGTCTCCATCTCAGGAAAAAAAAAAAAATTGTTGACCAGGCATGGTGGCTCACATCTATAATCCCAATACATTGGGAGGATGAGGCAGGAGGATTGCTGTGGCTCAGGAGTTCCAGACTAGCCTGGACAACATAGGGAGGCCCAATTTCTACCAAAAAAAAAAAAAAAAAAAAAAGTATTTTAAATTAAAAAATTAGTTGGGTGTGGTGACATGTGCCTGTGGTCCCAGCTACTCAGGAGGCTGAGGTGGGAGAATCCCTTGAACCTGAGAGATCAAGGCTGCAGTGAGCTGTGATGGAACCACTGCACTCCAGCCTGGGCGACAGAGCGAGACCCTGTCTCAAAAAACAAAACAAACAAAAAACCAATGCCAGCTGCCCACATTACTGGGTGGAGCTATCTGAATCTTTACTAGTTCAGAGCGGTGCCTGATTCATGAGTCATTTCTTTGCTCGAATAAATGGTTAAATTTAATTTGTCTAAGGTTTTTCTTTTTAACAGTGGCAAACACTGCTCAGATGCCACAACTGACATCCTTAACAGCAAACCTAAGCTCTTCAGGAGAGGTCACGCCAATCACTAAACTCCATGTGCCTTGCCCACCCCCTGTCCCCTGTCCCTTCAGCTCACCTTCCATATGTTGAGGGGATGAGCCTCTAAAGCAACCGAATCTGCTTTTTTTTTTTTTTTGACAGAGTCTTTCTCTGTCACCCAGGCTGGAGTGCAGTGGCACAATCTTAGCTCACTACAACCTCCGCCTCCTGGGTTCAAGCGATTCTCCCGCCTCAACCTCCTGAGGAGCTGGGATTACAGGTGCCCGCCAACAAGCCCAGCTAATTTTTGTATTTTTGTAGAGACGGGATTTCACCATGTTGACCTCAGGTGATCTGCCCACCTCAGCCTCCCAAAGTGCTGGGATTACAGGCGTGAGCCACTGCTCCCTCCCAGCGAGAATCTGCTTCTTAAACTCACAAACTTCTCTGCTAGCTCCACTTTGGGGAATTACAGGGAATTACATTCCTTGGCTTGGCAAAGACATTTCCAGACTGGTGCCAACATGTTCCTGCAGCCTATCTCAAAACCCTTCCCTGCATGAACACCAAGTTCTCTGCAGCTAGGCTGAGGGGTTTGCTGTTCTCTTTGTATGCTTTGCGTACATTGTAGTGGTCTCCAGCCCATTCCCTTGGCAAACTCCTATGTGATCATCAAGACTCATTAGGACGGGCGTGGTAGCTCAGGCCTGTAATCCCAGCACTTTGGGAGGACAAGGCGAGTGGATCATGAGGTCAAGAGATTGAGACAATGCTGGCCAACACGGTGAAACCCCATCTCTACTAAAAATACAAAAATTAAATAGACGTGATGGCCTGCGCCTGTAGTCCCAGCTATTTGGGAGGCTGAGGCAGGAGAATCGCTCGAACCCGGCAGGCAGAGGTGGCAGTGAGCCGAGATCATGCCACTGTACTCCAGCCTGACGACAGAGTGAGACTCAGTCTCAAAAAAAAAAAAAAAAAAAAAAAGACTCATTGCAAATGTCACACTATGGTGGGTCTCCCTTAGTTCTCCCCAGACAGAATGGCTCTACTGTCCTGTGCTCCTGCCATATCTCTTGTAGACAACAGTGAGAGTCCCTGAACTTCACACTACACCAGGGACAGGATCTTGAGCCATTCCATTTGAAATGTTAAGGGAAATGGTAACTCTCTGAAGTGGGTGGTCTTGGGGCCACCCAAGGAACTTATATCCAGGTTACAGGTGTGTGGCCTCGACTGTGTCTCTGGCCTTCGGATGCCCATTCCTCACCGCCATCCCCTTACTCTGAGGGAAGGGCCTGAGCCATCGGCAACAGCTGAGACTGTGAAATAGAAGAAGCAAAGTAGAAGCAGGGGAGGTGACCACTGTGCCCTGAGAGCAGGAGGGGTGAGCGGGCTGCACACAGACTAAGCACACGTCCCTCAGGTGGCCACGCCTCGAAGGCTGGACTTCGGCCGACTTGGACAGGCAGGCGAGTCAGGCTGTGCCCAGCAAGCCGAAGGTGCCTGGGCTTGCTCATTCAGTCACAGTCACAGCCACCATGCCAGGGAGGACCTGGAAGCTGTGCCTACTACTGCTGCTGGGGCTGGGACTGGAGTCCCAAGAGGCCCTACCCCCACCCTGTGAGAGGTAGGGTGTGGGGAAGGCAGCGGGAGAGGATGGCAATAAGAGGGAGGCTGGGATGAGATCTCAAGCTCTGGGGTCAGTACTTTAGAAGGAAAAGAAGAGATTATAAAGGAAGGAAAGAGTAGGGAAGAGAAGAAAATGAGGATTCCTGTATAGCAGGCTCTATGCTGGGCACTGCACCTGCAGTCCTTTTTTTTGTTTTTGTTTTTGTTTTTCTTTGTTTGGGTTTTTTGTTAGAGTCTTGCTCTGTCGTCCAGGTGAATTACAGTGGCACCATTCCACTCACTGCAGCCTAGACCTCCCAGGTTTGAGATTCTTGTGCCTCAGCCTCCTGAGTAACTGGGATCACAGGCATGCACCACCACGTCTGGCCTGTCATTGACTTTTACCAAAATTTTCCACCTTTGGAAGGGAATTAGTCTTGGTGACTGTGCTGGGAATACAAGCGTGAGCCACCGCCCCCTGCCAGGACCTGCAGTCCTGATACCAGATGCAGTTGCCAGAGCCTGGCCTGAGGTCTAACACCCTGTTGGCCTGACCCACCCTCCCTCCCTCTCCTCCTGCAAGCTGCCCCTTGAACTGTGCAGGCCTCTTCCCAGGATTGTTCTAGCAGACTTTCTGCTCCAGCTTCCTAGCCTGGGTGTGAGAGGTGGCCTAAGGGCCTGACCACAGCACCTGGGCCTAAGCCCTGACCCTAATACTCTCTTTGTGACCCAGGGCAGGTCAAAGCTCTTTCCTAACCCTGAGTTTCCATCACCAGGGACAGAGATGAGTGACCCTGTCCTGCCTCCTGGACTCAGGCAAAGTCTACCCTTCATTCCTCATGGATTTATGGAGCTGTGGCCACATCAACCACTTTACCAGCTCCTGCAAGAACAATAATAATAGAAGCAAAATGGCTGGGCATGCTGACTCACGCCTGTAATCCCAGCACTTTGGGAGGCTGAGGTGGGGGGGGTCATCTGAGGTCAGGAGTTCGAGACCAGCCTGACCAACATGGTGAAACCCCATCTCTACTAAAAATACAAAATTAGCCGGGCATGGTGGCACGCACCTGTAATCCCAGCTACTCAGGAGGCTGAGGCAGGAGAATCACTTGAACTCGGGAAGTGGAGGTTGCAGTGAGCCAAGATCGTGCCATTGTATTCCAGTCTGGGCAACGAGAGTGAAACTCTGTCTCTAATAATAATAATAATAATAATAATAATAATAATAATAAAAGCAAAACAGTAACAGAAGCACAGTTTGAAGTAGAGCGAAGTTAGGACCCACTGCTGTGGGTGAGCAGAGAGTGTGTTAGAGAGGACGGGGAGGAAAGGTGTCTCTGAGGAGGTGATGTGTGAGCAGAACTGTGGTAGGAACCATCGTTGAGCTGACCTGGGAGAAGATAGTCTAGGCATGGAAAGAGCCGTGCAGAGGCCCTGAGGTGCTGTTCAGGGATTGGGAAGAAGGCCTGTGTGATTGGGGCAGAGTGGGAACAGGTCAGGGGAGAGCGGGGCTCCAGGCAACAAAGTTTGGGCTTGGGCTCCAGTGGTAGGACTACAGTCAGAGACAAGGGGTTCAATAGGGGGTGCGTGTTACAGGGCGAGTTGACGGTGCTTGCCCATGACAATTGTGGAGTATAAAGGGGAAAAGTGTACTTGGGAGAGTTAATAGGTTTTGTCCTGTGCGATTGTAATGACGACTTCAGAGAGACTGGGTGGTCCAGTGTTTTGTCAAGCATTAGGCCGTTTGCCAAATGTAGGGGAAGATGACTTTATTGGTGTTCCCTAAGACCAACCTCAAGCCAGTGATTCACTAATACTTCCAAACGGTTATACCATGATTATGGTTTCGTTCTTTTTTCTTTTTTTGAGATGGACTCTCGCTCTGTCTCCAGGTTGGAGTGCAGTGGCGCAATCTCGGCTCACTGCAATCTCCACCTTCTGGGTTCAAGCGATTCTCCTGCCTCAGTCTCCCCAGTAGCTGGGATTACAGATGCCTGCCACCAGGCCTGGCTAATTTTTGTATTTTTAGTAGAGACAGGGGTGTTGTCACGTTGGCATGATCTGCCTGCCTCGGCCTCCCAAAGTGCTGGGATTACAGGAGTGAGCCACCGCGCCCAGCCTTGATTATGGTTTCTTACAGTGAAAGGATACATGTTAAAAGCCATCGGAGGTGAAATATTCTAGGGCCGAGTCCAGGAGAAAATAAGCTCAATCTTCCAGTTTTTCCTCTCCCAATGGATTTATATGGACAGTACTTGATTTTTCCAGCAATAATATGTGACAGCATGCATGAAGTATTGCCAACCACAGAATCTCACCTGAGTCTTGGTGTCCAGTATTTTTATTGGAGGTCAGTGATGGAAGCATGACTACCTGTGTGGCTGACCTCAGTTACTCACTCTCCAGGTCTTCAGAGGTCAAACTGATACTGGGTGGCCAAAGGCCCCTGCCACAAATCACATTATTAGTATCATATATCTGGCATGGCCCAAGGTCCCAGAAAAACAAAGACTTATCAGGCAGCATATTTCAGTAATTTAAATCTTATCTCTCAAGGCTGGTCACAGGCCAGAACTTTCTCTGAAACGTGCAGGTTTTGAACACAGCAGACCTGCTGAGTCAATCCTTTCATGCACAAGCCACTTCTTGCATAATGAAGAATTTGTTTCGTCTTTGTCTTGGGTTCCTCCAAGGTCACCTCTAAGGTCTTGGAATCTCCCAAGTGGTAGGAATATCTGTTATTCCTAGTGGTCCCTGATTACTGTTTTTTGTTTTTGTTTTGTGTTGTTTTGTTTTGAGATGGAATCTAGCTCTGTTGCCCAGGCTGGAGTGCAGTGTCAAGATGTTGGCTCACTGCAATCTCTGCCCTCAGGGTTCAAGTGATTCTCCTGCCTCAGCCTCCCAAGTAGCTGGGACTATAGGCACGCACCACCGTGCCTGGCTAACTTTTGTATTTTTAGTAGAGACTGGGTTTCACCATGTTGGCCAGGCTGGTCTTAAACTCCTGACCTCAAGCGATCCACCCACCTCAGCCTCCCAAAGTGCTGGGATTATAGGCGTGAGCCACTGCACCTGGACTGATTTTTTGCCTGTCTCAACAAACAAAAAAATAAAACAAATAAATACCAAGTCCTGGTTGGTGAACACATTGATGAGCCAGGAGGGGAAACGTCCTGGTTCCATGGGGAAAGGACACAGAAGCTCTTCATTCAGGGCCCCCCTAGATCTTGCCCCATGTGTCTCTTCATTTGGCTGATCCTGGCTTATATTCTTGTAATAAAACTACAGCCCTAAGCATAACCATAAGCTTTTCTGAGTCCTGTGAGTTCTAGCAAATTATCAAATCTGAAAGGGTTATGGGAACCCCTACATTTGTAGCCTTTTGGTAAGAAGTGCAGGTGGCCCGGGGACCCCTGAACTTGTGGCTGGTGTCAGACGTGAGGCCGTCTCACTCAGGACTGTGCCCTTAACCTGAGTGTGGATTCCGCACTAACTCCCGATGGTTAGCACCAGGATTAAATTGCAGTATTGCAGTTGGTGTCAGAAAATGTGGATTTACTAGAATGACCCTGACTCACTGAAACATGTGGGTTGGGAAAAGAAAAGATGAAAGGGCAGGGGATGAGAAATCTTTCATTCTTGAGTGGCTACATGGTCACTCATGGTGTGAAGAGCAGTCATGCTGCAATCAGTTACTGGAGGTAAAAGTTACCAATGGAACTTAGAGATGATTGATCTCTAACTTTTGGGGAGTTGGCCCATGTGCATAGGAAAATGTATACTACTAAGAAGAAAAGCAAATATACAATCCCTATGGATTTGTATCTGTAATAGTCAAACTGAAAGTAAAAGATGGGCCATGCTTAGATTCTGGTCGGTGGAATTACAACCTCCGGTACTGCACTGTGGTACCAAAAGCACCTGCTGAAGCCCTGATGGGCACTGCAATGAGATTGAGAGAATATAAAAATGTGGCCAGGTGCAGTGGCTCACACCTATAATCCCAGCACTTTCGGAGGCAGAGGTGGGCAGATCATCTGAGATCAGGAGTTCAAGACCAGCCTGACCAACATGGAGAAATCCTGTCTCTACTAAAAATACAAAATTAGTCGGGCATGGTGGTGTGCACCTGTAATCCCAGCTACTCGGGAGGCTGAGGCACGAGAATCACTTGAACCCAGGAGGAGGAGGTTGCAGTGAGCTGAGATCGCACCATTACACTCCAGCTTGGGCAACAAGAGCGAAACTCCATTTCAAAACCAAAACAAAACAAAACAAAAAACTGGTATGCGCTTGAACAGGTTTTATGTGGAGTGTTGCATCTCTTCTACCTGAATGTATTACAGGGATGGATATTGTATCTGACCAGGAAACATTTCCACTACCTAGTATTGTAAAACAGAAGGCATGGACATCCACTCATCAAGCAATATTGATTAGACATTCCAGATGGGAACCAATAAGATTGCCTAGCTCCACAGAGATTGTTAGCCTTCTCTGGAGCATAGACTGGACTTTATAGCCAAAGTCTTAGAGCACCTCCTGGCATGAGTGCTGGGACTTTGGACTAGAGAATTTCCGTGTGAGAGGTAATTATTGGCTCGCTATCAGACATTATTTGAAATTGCCCCTATGACTGAAGGATGTAAGATAATCTTGAAACCTGAAATACCTATAATATCTTGGGTGATGTTGGAGAAATGCTCTCAGAGAGTGGGCAGGGCCCAGAAGAGTTCCATAATGAAGTGGAAATGACTGGATCAGGAATAAGCTCATTGGGGAATGCAGAGTTATTCAGTGTATTCAAGAGAAGAGAGACTCTCTTCCCCTAGGACTGACTTTGGACCCACTCATTAGATTCTATTGCCAATTGGACAGTGCCCTATTGACAGCTCTCGATTGACCAACAAAGAGCTATTTGGCTTATGGATGGCAGTCCCAAGGTGAATGAACAGCCTACTGTTTGGAAGGTTGTCACTCTGATCAAAGAAGGCAAAAACAAATCAGCTCTGTGGG